TGGGGGAAAGGTTTCAATTGCGGACGAGTAACGAAAGAGAAATGGGGGTGGGGATGACGGATAGTGTTCTCGTAAACGAAGAAGAAGCAAGGGAGAGGTGAGTCCTTGGATATGGATAGAGGAGTGGGAGAGGAGAAATGCGGTGACAACAGCCGGATCGCCTGCTGTTCCGGCCACGACAAGCAAGAAAGCGCCGTGTTTGTTGGTCAAAATAAAAAGAAAAGCAGGACAGAGAGTTGCTCCAGGGAAGTTGGAAGATGAAACGAGCAGGACGTGAGGAGGGGGTAGAGAGGCGGTATCATCACTCAGGTGGGGGCCGCGAAGTGTCTTTCGGAAGATCGTGGGGTCAGGAGGCGTTCTGCACTAACACTGCACAAGAAAGTAGAACAAGGAGGGAAAAAAATACAGAATGCACTGGATTGTGTGTGTTCTCAGCTTGTGTGTCGTCTCATTACTTGTCTCGTGGCTCTGAGGTTGATAAATATAAAAACTTGCACGCCTTTTCGCGCCAACAAGGGGATGACGTGCGAATAACTACCTACGAGTCCCCGACAAACTGTCGTAGGTTGCCCGGAAAATTATACATACCCATCTAAAAAAAGATCGTGTAGGAAGCTGTAACGCTTCTTTCTACCGTGCGCTCGCCTACGCGAAAGCTGGTATCGACGTGATTTGAACACGCGCGGATCGCTCCACCGCAACTTGAGTGCGGCCCCTTAACCACTCGGGCACGATACCTCAAGTCTATCGACGCAAGGCGTAACCTAACGACTATGAAATGGACAAGTTCACGAGAGAGTGCCATTGGGTCCACCAAGCCCCTGGGGGTTTTGCGGGAGGGTCGTAAAAGTCGCTGGTGAAATGCTTTTTTTTGGTCGCGTGGTGGGGATATTTCCAGCGACTTTTTTCTCATCTTTTTGAATGGACAGGATGGGCCGTGCGAAAATTTTCCCCGCCTGCCTGAAAATTACGTGCACGTCGTGAGCGACTTAAGGGATGGATCCATACGCCCCGCCTGAAAGTTACTCCCCTTTTCACTTGACGTGGCAAGAACATGCGAAATGGAAATAGAGGCCTTATTCGGTTTACATTTCGAGGCGCCATCTCTTTCTTCGTGGTGGCCTCGCTGAGCGAGAAGCTTTGCAGCGTCGCCACCACATCAGAATGTTTCCCCTTGCGATTGAACAGGACTGGTGGTCATTGGTATGGCGACAATAGACTACTGGTACAGCAACACCCTCTGGCTCGAAGAATTGGGCGGCTGTTTACTCATTCTTTCGGTGAATGGGCTTAAAGTTCAGGGCGGATTCCATAATCGTCCAACCTCCCCCCTGGAAAGCAGCGTACGCTTTGTGTGCCTTATTCACTGCGTTCTTGTTTAAAATGCACTGAACGTGTTTTACCTTGGGATTTAGGGTGCATTTATACACAGTAAAGATATGTCGAGTACGAACATCTCGTGAGGGCCCGCTGCCGGTCACGGTGCCTATGCCCCGGTGCCTTGTTTTTGACTTGAAGAGGCTTACCCTGTTTAGTCAAGTATTGACACCTCGTACCAGACGAGACGGAATTCATCACTTTAGCCTGGCCTTTGCTATTTGCAGTATCGCTCAAAGTGTGTTCATCTTGGGACAAGCGACAAGGCATATTCTTTTCTTCATTCCTTCACTCTCTTTCCTTCCCCCACACTCTGCGCCACAAAGCTTGCTTGATACTCCCTGGCTGTCTAACAGCCCGCGACCCCTTCTTTCCTCCCGCTGACTGGACCATGACTTCCCAGGACGGAGAGCTCCGAGTGGGCGATCATTTCCCCCGCCACCCCAAAGCCTGTCGCGTGCCCGCTGAGAAGTTCTTCGCGTGCTTCTCATCCAAAGGGGAACAGCGCGCTACGGCCTTGGAGGGCAAAGCTGGGGCGGACAAGGAGGCGGGACGACGGGGTTTGGCGGAGTGCCAGAAGGAAATGAAGGCCTACGATGGCTGCATGGCCAAGGTGGTGAAGGGAAAAGGGGGAGGAAAGGATTGGTTCTTCCGTGTGCAGGACGAGTACCGGCGCGAGAATTTGAAAGAGGGGGGG